AACCTTTTTGTTGTGGGGGGGGCCTAATTGAAAAAAAAAAAAAAAAAAAACCCCGTCAAGAGGAGAAAAGAAGCAAGAGAACCCCCAAGTCCTCATATAAGAGGCCTTTGAGACTGAAGTGAAGTACAACAGTAATTAGTCTTTTGTATGAATTTGCCGGCCATGGTCATGATTAGTTAAGCATAGGAGAGGACCGCAGGACTGTATTGCACTTAAGGAGGAGGGTGTTAAAGTCTATTTATCACCAGTTATCCTCACAGCTTTCCATTATCACTGACAACACTAGACGGGGGCCTGAGAACAGCCTAATTGTTCTGAGGTGGAGTGTTTTTGTGTCAAATCTGTCACCCCAGTCGCACATGGCATTCATAAGCAGCCAGACATTTTCCATATATCCAGCTCTAATACCCAAGCTGTCACAACAGCTTTAACACACCAGGACCGGTTCTGGTGTGAAATATCTGAGGTGATGCATTTATCGTTTTTCTCTCACTTCACGTGGCGTTGTGAATCAATGTCCTGGTTCACACCGAATAGCCGTGTGGTAAATGGGCTCCCTGTTTGGGGCCTGTTTTCATGACACGCTCACACACCAGGAAACACGGCAACTATGTATTACTTTATTCCTCGCCGTACTTTATCTCCCTCTCTCTCTTCTTCTCTGCTCTTCTTGTCCGGGTGTGTTGTATTTACACAACATATAATTTTAATCAATTCTTCTAAGCTGTATAGACACTACTGTGTGCCAGAGGAACTGCTTACATTTGTATCTAAAATGCTTTGTCATACCAACAGTGGCCTGCTGAGATATTGAATGAAATCATCAATAAAGCAAGGGGGAGTTGTTTTGACGTAGTCCCCTTAGAAATGCTATGAATAATTCATGGAGTGATGATATTCAGATGATTTTTGTCCTATTTTTTTTTTTTTACTGTGGCCGTAGAATATTGTTTTGCATGTTGTGAAGTGTAGTACTCAGCTGCGTATTCATTAAGGTGCTGCTCCCACTGGCCCTTGGACCCATCTGTGCTCTGTGTTTATGCGTCTGTCTCCGGGGACTGTTCCAATCAGACTGCATGTGCCATTTCCTGGGTAAACCAACACCTGTGTAACGCACTACCTGTAAACCACCTATGTGCATTTTTATTTTAGTTAAAGTTGTTATACTTTTTTAAAAATAAAATACAAAAAAATCTGTATTCAAGAATAAGAACAAAAAAAAAAAGAACTGATGTTTTTTCAATGAACAATTCAGTTCCATTTGTTATTGTTACCACAAGGTCACAGCCCTTTTTATTGTAATTACACATATTAATTTGCTTGGAAATTTGCTTAGTTTTGTTAAGTTATTTCGTGATAATTCACCAAATTTACCATTGTTTAATTTCTGGTTTTAACTTCTGGAGTCAACCACACTCTCTCAGCACGTTTGTTATATATGCAGTTTAAGGCATGGCATTAGTGACTGTTTCTAACAGTCAGATATAAACCTTAGCATCTTCACATACGTACAGATCAATGCCAGGGCTGCTGATGCCGTCTTTTTTCATCGCTGGCATCATTTTCCCGTTCTTGTTTATGTTGGCTGAGTCTTGGATGAGTGCTGCTGCCCAGTCCATTGCCAGTTAAGCTGCTGATTCAGGAACCTCCGAAAATTTTACTCTCGACCTTTTCAGTCTGCAGTTTATTCCAATTTTTCTCATCTGTACATTTTAATATGTTTGTTTAATAAGTAGTTAAACTTTTTAAATATTTTTTTATATTTGCCTTCTACATGAAAAGGTCCGTGTGATTTACCATTTTCATGGCAGTTTGGGAAGCATACCAACTTTTCGAAAAGAAAAAAGTAGTTTATAAATGTGACCCCGACGTTCAGTCAGAAGGAAATCTGAACTGTTTTGGTTTTAAGTCATCAGTTGCAAACAGTTCCAAACAGTTTATATAACATTGTTTTTTTTTTTTTTTTTTTTTGTTGACATTTTTATTTTCTTATCCGTGTTGTTGACGAGGAACTTATTCAACCATGATGGTTGTGCTAGTTTGTTTCAGAAGTTGATTGGATTCTATATCTGCATCACGCAGAAGTGTACAGTGTGTGACATACTAACGCAATATGCAGCGCGATGATTCCGTTCTGACATCTTGGAGGGGAGTACGAGTCAATTATGCCCAAGTGTTGTTCTTGCTTATCTTCCTGCGGCACCAAACAAGGATTTAGTCAAGGATTTAGGGGTGAGGGGGCGGTGGTGGGGATCATGGTAAGCGGTTCACAACAAAACACTCAAAACTCCTGGGAGCGGGCACTGATTTAAAAATAAATTACAGAAGACGAAGCGCTAACACTCAAGGGCCCTCAGCAGTGCTGGCGTACACAGGTGAAGATTAGCCTCCTCGCTAATCAGAGAAACAAGGCAGTAATTTGCTCGGAACACAGACAGTAATTAGGACTTGGTGACACTGGATTCCCATAATGCCTTTGTGCTTGACGTGGTCAAATTTTGACAGAGGCTATCCATGCAGGGTCACTGTCCCACCAGTCTCTGGGCCCTCTTCAGTGGAGGCTCTAAAAGGTCCCAGCAGTTCCAGGGGATCCCTAATGTACTTTATGCCTCCCTTACTCGCTCCTTACCATTCGGGTAATTGGAATCTCTCACTGTGGCACTTGAGAATAGAGGCTAAAAACTCTATTTGGAGCTGCTCAGTAGTCTGTTGTAGATAAACATTGCTGTTGTGGCATGGATACACTACATAATGGAGGAAGAGTTAAGGCTCTGGTAATACATGCCTTTACTGACTCCTGTAGGCAGCCAGTTGGGAGCAGATCTAATTGTTGTGTGCTTTGTTGCTTACGCTGCACCGTTTTACCCCCACCTTTATGTATTGAAATTGAGTGCTCCGGCCTCTGTGGTGGACACGCTACAATAAAAGTTGTTGTATATCCGGAGAGCCGTTTATCCGGCCCGGTTGTTTTCATTTTAGAAATTTTGAAGCACAAAACGGGCGCCTCGGAACAGAATGCGAAGCCACTCGTACGGCTCTCCACTTTGAAACCTCTCGACTTTAGTGCTGCAGTAGCTAGATAGGCGTCTGAATGATCTTCAAACGCTTGAACAAGCTGCATTGAGCAAGTGGCTTACAATTGTATCACAGCCCTTGGCTCAGAGACCATCAGGATCTTGACATTCATAGAGACATGCTGTATTTTTTTCTCCCCCGTTATAGACAGTCATTTTAGGCTTTTTTCATGCTCTCTTGAGTCTTTGACGTCTGCGAAGTTAAGTATCCGGAGCTATAAGGGTGAGGAAAATATTGGACTGCTCCTGGCCTTTTCTATTTCATCCTCTGACCCGCCATGTTACCCATGATCGGTGAAGGAGAACTCTGCCAGGCTGTGTCAAAAGTGACAGCCGATCGAGTCAGGATGAGCGCCATCACGCTTCAGAGGACGGAGGCTTGAGTTCTGAGTTTTTCCCCTTTTTGTGCAATACACCATTACACCCTTCGCCAGATTCCTTTCAATTAGTTCCTGTGGTTAACCTGTTTCATTCTTACATCTGCGACTGATAGGAAAAAAAAAAAAGTCTTGCTGAAGTCTTGCGCAGCTACAGATACAGAATATGCTTAAGAAAATCGACAAATTTGATACAAGCTTTTCCTCTTTTTTTTCCCCCTCCTTTTGTCTCATATGATTGTTTCTTCCAGGTTGAATGAAATAACCTCCAGCATTATATAAAAGCTCAATTCATTCTCGATATTAGTGGTGGAAAATAAGTGGGACTCCAGATGACTCCCACTTTACGCAGCAATGATTTATGGTAATTGGAAATTGATTGTGACAGGAGCACAATATTAGAAATTTTCTCAAATCACAACCTTCTATCAGGGGAAATATTCTTTTTGGTGCACTAGGTACTGGCTAGTTTGAAATGAGTTCCCTTTTCCTTACTTGTGATAAAACAATACATGTAAAAAAAAAAGTAGGATTTTAATTACACACACAAAATTATAAAACAAATTATTTGACTCTTCTTTTTTTTCAGATTTAAACTGCCTTACGTCACCTTTTTATTAAAATTCTCCTAATAATTGTTGTTGTTTTTTTTTTAATTAAGAAAAGGCGTTCACTAAAGACAATATAACACCGACGCCTCCTTTGAGGATTTTGTTGTAATTAGCCCCACATTTATTACACATGTCTAATTTCTCATTCGAAGGGCACACTTTAAAATGTGCTGCTCTGGACTCTGTAAAGATCCCGCGGAAGCCGCTTGATTTGTGATTCACTGAAGCCTGAAGCAACTGGAAATGTTGCCAGTGCAGCAGCTACATCTCCACTGCTCATATGCTCTTTAAAAACAATCCCCCCGTCGCACCGCGAGGTGACAGACTTCAGCCTCGACTGATGTTCTCCCTCCTTTATTTATTTATTTCCCTGTTGTTTACTGGCCATAACATGTGCTGCATCGCATTAACTTTTACCACTGTCAATGTTGTATCACTGAAAACACCTTTAAAGCGGGCGCATCCGCGTCAGAGGGCTGAGGGGAGAGAGGGAAATTAGCCGGGGTGACAAGTCTGAAGTGTGAGCTGGAGGTCAAAGGTGCCAAGCCTTAAGCAAAGGTGCTCTACCCTTTGTCCGGTAGATTGTAAGGGCCTGCGGGTCCAACAGGAACATTTCCACACACAATATCCCCGAGCTGTCAGTGTGCAGCGGCTGGAACATCCTCTCAGAGAGAAGGGGTGTGTGTACGGTGGAGGTAGAGGTGGAGGGAGGCAGGCACATCGGGGTGGAGGGAATAGCGGGGGAACAGTGGCCTGAAGATCCTTGCTGAGAGAAAGAGGGGCAGGGGGAGGGTGGCTGTGTAGGTGGTGGGGAGCCAAAAGAGCTGGAGTGGGAGGAT